GGCGCGAACAAAATATATAATTTGAAGTACACAATGATACATACATCTGCCAGTAAAACAGGCCAGTCATAACGGCCTTTAGGAATACGGACAGACACGCATGGAACATTAAAAAAAGAGCGGTGACTGGAGAAAAATCATAATAAAAGATGGAAGTGTAGTTGAGACCTGCCTAATACAACACTACAAAATTCACTTTCCCGCAATAAAATTTTCTGCAACAGCCACGCATCCACCCGAATACATTTTGCTAAAAGCTTTGGTTAACCAGCGGTTAACCAGTTCTATGATACAACGTGTATGAACACCTATGTTGTTACACTTGAATGCAGCAAAAAGTTGCTATCTCCTAGAACTGCCATGCAGCGAACAATAACAGATTCAGTAAAAGCTTGAAATACCAATGATATTTAACTGCCAAAAACATAAGTTTTCACCGGAAGCTGACAGGTGCAATTGCAAGCATGTCAAAAGACCATGAAATCTGACCAGCATTAATCAAACGCAAAACCGGGAATGTAAAAGCTAAAGAATGAAACTACGTAAAAGAACAGAAACTTCTTTAAGATCAACAAGCAGTATTGCACTGGTATGAAAATGCTACGTTTGCACAGAACAAAGCATCCGATGAATGAGTGCATACATGACGGCTGAAAAATGAAAGCGTACCTGCGTATTCCAACAACTATCGCCAAAGCCAAGAAGGAAGCTGCATAACAGAGCCACGTATTCGCTAAATGTATCACGATTGAGTTGAACCTCAACTGAAAAAGCATGATTTATCACTTACTTTGGTTGCATATAAGATATGGCATCAGTTTTTTCAATGACAGCCAGCGGAGGAATGGTAACGAATATGAGGAAAAAAGTTACGTAGTTCGTGATGATTCCAAGAATGATGACGGTGTTACGATTGTGCACAAGCTGTTTACCGAACAAGCCGAAGACTGAACCACCTGTAAATAAACGTACTGGAAACCAACCTGTATTCCAAAAGATGATTAGATAATAACTTTCACCATAAAAATTATTTTAATGAGATCGTGCCCAGATCACATTCAGCAGTGAACTGAATATTGGAATACCGTAAACATTACTAGTCATATCGGTACGCAGCTTAAATTACATTCAGAAGTCAATACTACAATTCAAAAAAACCATAAACTATCCACAGTCTAAAATGCGTATACATATAGCTTAAAAAGTCAATCTTAAGCAAGACAGAAACCGCAGAAATTATTATTCGCCAAAACAAAATACAAACGCGAAAAAATATTTCTGCATTATCAATAAAAACAACTGAAACTTGGAAAAGGGAGAAAAGCTCTGAAAATAGAGACAACGGCTTTCTTTACGCTTCGACGATGGGTAACACAATGGGATACAATGTTTTTAAAATACCAATACAGTTTACCTGATCATGCGAGTTTGCGTATTTCTGTAAAAAATTGATTTTACGTAATTTCGATGGAATTCTTTCAGTGCAACTATTTGCCATTTACTGTATTTTTTAATACTCTGAAATTAACGATTTACGATTATAGAAAATAAGTTTGCATACAGAAAATTCAAACCTTAAATGCATATAGATGCAGCACAGTTAAAGTTTGTAACATATATTTAGTTACGGTAATACTAAGATTAGAGTTGGCAAAGTTGTAAAGCTGGTCGAAGTCTAGCGGCCCACACAACTTAGTTTTATCCATGCTTCATATATCAAAGACATCCAAACTAAAAAACCCTATGATGCAATCAGGGAATTAAGGTAAGAATAGCAATGTATGCCAAATAAGTATGAAATTTCGCAACAAGATGAAGAGCGTACCGAAAGTTTCACCCAAACCAATAAAAATCGCGTTCAATGCCAGTAGGCCCTGCGTTTTCACCGCAAAATTCAAAGTATACGCTAAGCTGGTGCCGTAAATGCCAGACCAAAAGGTAAGCAAGAAACCTGAAAAAAGGACGAACTTGGCATTACCAATAGCAAAAATTAAACCCAATCTCACCTGTGTAGATGAAGACGGGAATTAACAACGACATATGGAACGTGCGAAACAGTCTGAACGTTCCAACTGAAAAGTTGATTTCGTTATTCTGGCATATGCAGAGATTTTAAGTGATAGATGTGATAAATTTGCTGCGCCCTTGCAGAAAGTGCATAATAAGTAGTTTCAAAATCAATATCAGCACTATATCGTGAATAACTGAAAACAAAGAATGCAGTGGACGGCATGCAAATGTAAAGAACAGCGAAACACGAAACAGAGATGAGCACCTAAAGAACTGACTAACAATGAAATGCTAACCAGGAGTTTGAATAAGAAAACATAGGGATAGTGTTAAAATGGAAAAACAGCCAGTATCAAACTCCAGATGTTTAGGGTTCGAGCCTCACAAAAAGACAAAATCTGTTCTTAATCTCGACGCTGGTTGAGTGAATTATTCGCCTTATGCTGCTTCGGCGCAAGCAGCCAAAAACGGGTTGCAAACCGCTGACTTGCGATAACAAACTGTACTGTATGATATTCTGTTGTGGAAAAAAACAAAAAGGATGAGAGGTACGGCCATGCTGTCTGAAGCGAGCAATTCAAAGGGTTGATATTCGCCTTGACCGAATTGAGAGCTGCTTATTTATTGTAATAATTAGCAGCTGTAGTCATTATTGTGATTAAAGCAATGCGGTGAGTTCAGAACCATTGTGAAACAGAGAGAAAGGAAATAAGAAAAGACTCAAGCGGCTGCAAACTTCAGTTTTCATTTGTAGAATGGTGAAGTGGCGCTTTAATGGGCTGACCCGGTTCAGAATATGGTTTAAAGATCTAAGAGAAAGTAAACGAACAGCTGGAGGTGCCTCAAAGTACTGAACGAACAGTGGACCAATAGACATAAAACCGAAAAAGCGATGAAATGCTGGTAATAGCTGAGGCACCTGGACAGATATTCAAATGCCCCCTGGAGATATTAAAACCAAATCTGCGCATTTATTACAGCATCAGAGATGCATTCCATTTCACAAGTACACCACTTTCTCATCTGTAATGCAATTTAAAATAGCCATTCGCTTCTTTCGATCAGTTTATAATCCATGCACAACCAAGCATTTCTTTCAAATAATCATTCGATCCCGTCAAAAATGGCGACAGCGTAAGAAATTTTTATTATCGTGATTAAGAGTCATTGTTGAATTAGAAATCAATTGTACGAAGTGCGCAGTCAATTAAAGGAATGTGTATGAAAATGTTCCGGCGGTAATAACAATAAAAATCATGGCGGTGGCTATGAGTAGACCTGGGAAAAACATACCCAATTCCTGCAAGCCTGAGTGCATTTCTTCCCCATTTTTTAGAGAAGCACCATCGACGGCAGAAACAACGGAATCAGATTCGACAATTATTGGCTGCTCTGACTCAGAGCCGTCGGCAATCCTCTTGAGTGGCTTTAGTAATGCCAAAATGAGCGTTCCAACCAAAGCTATAGTTATGAAGCATATGTACACCAGTTTAATCGTTGATACAGGAATGGATTCAGAATTCTGCCGAAATTGCGTATACAGAAAGATGCCACCAAATGGAAGGCTTAAAATAACATAGCGAATAGTAACAAAGTCAAAATACACTTGCGAAAAAACCTGCTATTTAATATAACAAGTGACAACACAATCGAAGGCACAAACAATTATTTCATCAACTTGTGAAGCATAAATCAAAAATAGTCTATTTAAATAAATAGATACTGGAATTAATCCAATAATAAAACATATAATTATTTACATTTTGTGCTCTTTACTGAAAGACTTCTGAAACGACTTATTGCAGGGATGACTTCCATGCGAGAAAATCAAAAATCATTTGCAGAATGTACATTTGTACTACTCTCATTACGCAGTGAATATTTAAGGTAATGATTTACTCACTGGTTCAAGAATAGCAACAGCGACAGAAGCGACCGTAAACAAACAGCCTGTCTAACAGAAACCAAAATTTCGTACGCCTGT